TTCTACATTATTTCCTATTCATTATTCAATATCATTCTTTTACTTGATGCTACATAGTGCGTGACACTGAAATCGTCATTAAACAAGCTATATAAATATAAATAGGAAACACTCTTCTTTTTTGGAACATGAATTTTCATTATTGTGTTTACAAATGCCCTTAGTTTGACCCTTTCCTGACCCAGATGCCTTCAGTTCACATTCTCACATCTTATTTTTTAACCATTTATAACGTAGTGGTAACTGTATATACCACCTGTTTTACTAATTAGTAATTCCAAATTTCTCCAACATCGTGCGCTTATGGGCTTCTTATTTTTCCCAGAATTCTCTTAACATTATTAACACATTGATCCTTGTAATGGAAATGTGTTTGCTTTGCGGCAAGGTCTGATTTATTTCTTTAGACGAGCAACTTTACAAGAAAATGTTAGATGGTGATCTTTTATATCTATGGTGATGAACATTTTGATCCTTTAAAAAGTGATTTCTACTTTTATGTGTGTCTGGAGATACCCTATTCGAAATTTTTCCGACCTAGTTGCAAAATTCATAGTTTTTCGGTGGTATTCCTCAGTCTCTCAAGTGAACACCGCCTCAGTAAATTTTAATTTATCACAACCGTATCCTGTCTAATTCATGCCTGTTATTAATTATGATCACTTCAAACCTCATTGAAAAAAAAATCTTACCTTCAAACACAGTCGTTAAGTAGGTAAAACAAATTACTAATTATTTATTTGCCTACCAAAATTTTCGCAATTGTATTTCATTGCGTTACCCGCGCACGTATTTCTTTGCACCGTAGTACACGTTCAATTAAGTTGTATTAAAACTTTCACTGACAAGCGACGATTTATTTACAGATAAATTAGCTTAAAATTACCCACCACACTGTGCGCCATTAAACAGTCTCTCGGGGATTTGAGGTAGAGAAAGGGTGTGTTAAACTCTTCTGCACGTCAGCTCCAAAATTGTTTTGCGGGAATCAAAGCAAATTAACACCTTTAACTGTGGATTTTGAAATCAATGTTGAGTGATGTGTTTATTGTGCGTGCCTGAACAAACACTAAATTGAGGGACGTGTTTTATCAACTATTGTGTCGCTGTCTGAAGTGGGGTCGTACGTTAAGAGAAACTGTCATGAGTAAACTGGTATAGTGACTGGTCATTTTATATACTGATACACACCCGTGTGTGGGGTGGGATGGGGGTTGTATGACGTCATGCTCAGTCAGAAATCGCGCTAAACTATGCGAGCCATGTTGACAGGGATAAAATGGCGCCACAGAAGAATTTCCTTCGCTTAATCATGTTGCATTCTTGACGGTACAACCCGAGTATGTGCCAGTCACTGAGAAGAACTGCAAGATATAAGAAGTATAGGATGAAGCAAAGAGGATGATGATAAGAGAAAAGCTAGCGGCAATTCTTTTTCTGAGGAGAGGTGAAGCAATTTTTCGGCCGATTGATCGTCCCGGGGACTATTTCGGGGTGACCTGCAGTGAATATAGGCTGCCCGATGACTTTGTTCCTCTATTTTAACATTTTATTTTGATGTCACATCCTTTGTAATGTAGTAAGAACAGGGGTCTGATTCTTAATATTTGAAACTTTGACTCACGCGTAGAATGCCAAGGGAAAATAATTCTTCCGTTGACAGCCTTTAACTTCTTTTCCTAAGAAACAGTTTTCTGAAATTGGCTTAGTATCGAGTTCCAATGCTGGAGCAGAATTTTTTCTAGCTATTTTAATCTAATTATGAAGGAATGGCAACGTTGTTACCTAACAGATTTGTGATCTAAGATTTGTTTATTTGTTGGCGTGTAATTGAATTTATTCGCTAATGCTTTAATCGTCTTTACAGAACAACATGAACCAAAATATAATTATATTCGTTTCTTATTTCAAAACACAATAAAACAGAAGTAAAATATCTGCATCTTTTGCACGATTATTTCAATAATGTAACAAATATTGAAGGAGATATTAATGTTTAATTGGGAATAATCATATATATTTTATTTTAAAACCAAGTTTCAATGCTAACCACTCTGCAGCAACGTTTCGTATAATTCTATGGCAAGTATATTATTTCAATTTCAACCATTCGAAGCCTAGTGGTAACTATACGTACCAGCTGCTTTAAGTCATAGTAATTTTAAATTATGTATTTGTGTTTCGTATGATTCTAACTGTAAACAGTAATTTTTTTCTCTAAACATCATTAACCAATTGATTTTTGTAATTGTTAAATGTGCTTTCGTTGCTTTACGGATTAAATTCTTGAAAATTATTTAGACTTGCTTCAGCTTCAAAGGGTTAATTGTAAATTCTGCTGTCATATATTTTAAACAGCGAATATTATTTGTCTGTACTAATTACAGGAAATGAAAGCTGAATGCATGTTGTGTATGGGCTGTTTTATTAACTGCTGATAATGATGCTTCTCCGTTGGCACTGGAAGCAATTAGCAAGTGAGTCAGTCAGACAGACAGTCCGTAATAAAGCAGAAGTGACCGCGCCAGGGTATCCAATAACGGCCGTGTCATACGTCTTAGTCAGTTCGTGCTGCTTTCTGCGTGTTCGTGACGGATGCCTGCCAATACAACGCCGCCATGACGGAGTGCCGTCGCTTTAACCCACAGCAGCCAACCCTTCTGCATGCTACGAGAGCCCTCTCTTTAGTATCGACTGCCCTGGTGTGAGCCATACATTTCGGTGCAGTAACAACATCGATATTGACTTGCTTCTGTTTCTCTCAGACTTTCTTCCCTGTTTGCTTGTTTCTTTCACACTTCTCGCTCACTTTTCTTCTTTCTATTTATCCATTCTTTCATATTTTTTTCTATTTCCTTCCGACTCTTTTGTCGCTCTTGGTCACACATTTTTCTTCCCTCCCTTCTCTATTCCCTTCTTCGTGTCGCCCTCTTTTACCACCTTCATTAATTGTTGCTTGTTTCTTTATTTTTCTCCTCATCGTATATTTCTCAGTCTTTCCTCTTTTTCCTACACATTTCTTTATTGTTTTCTCATTTTATTCCCCCCATTTCTCCCTTCTTTCTTGTTTGTTTCATTCTTTATTTGTGTATTTCTTACATCCATCTCTTCCTCCATTATTTCCTTCACTAAGTTACGGAGGCTACATCAAATTTCTTCATTGATCTGTCCTTTCTTTTAATAAATCAAGTTATAATATTCACAACGAGCTGATCAGATTTGTATTCGTTAGTAACCGATCATTTGATCGTCTATCCTGATTGAGATTTTCGAGGTGGGTGGAGGGGGGAGTTTTATCTGTCTGCCCAGGCGAATGCTTAGACAGTAATTTTATAATAGTCCAAAATCGCCTCTTTTCAAACCCTTTTCTATTCACCATTAAATGATAATCTTTCCATTTAATGTGGCATTATATGAACTACGTCTTTAAATACCATTAGTAAATAACCTAAATCTACTGAAATTCTAAACGAACATAGAAAATGTTTTGAAAAATACATATTTCATTCTAATGGAAAAATAAGTTATGCCACTGTGTTCCACATAGTTCCACGTATATTTACGTAAACAATATTTCAACCCATTTCTTAAGTTGTCTCATTTAATTACTCTGCCTTATTGGAGAGAATCCCACATAGACGATACTGAATGATGGTCTACTAATTAATCCCAGCTCAAGCGTCTGCATTTGCATCGAACAGCAAACTAATGATGGATTTATGAACAAACCATCAAACGCGAAAGATAATTCGAAATGTTGCATAACTGTTTGATCAACAATATGCCAAGTTCTAATTATGTTTCGCATGTGAATATGTAAACATGTATTTTAGAGTGACTAAATAAATCCCCAGAGTATTCGTGTTAAGAACTCAAAGCTACGTCATTCCAGTGCCAAAATTATATTGCTGAACTCCTGTGAACTTCAGCATAATTTGCATTATGTAACCAACTAATTTAACCCAACTTTCAGTGATACAAAAAATTATAAAATGAAAAGTTCTGTAACTCTTACAATATATAGAGTTACAAAATCAAGTCTGATGTTTGATTGAACTTCGCACACACATAGAAAATAATAAATTAATACAAAGTTTAAAAGAAAGTGCCTCATGAAAGCTGTTGACATTGGTCTAAGATTAACATTAAACAACTCTTGGAACAACACAGTGTGAAATTTGTATACTGGATGCATCTGGCTAAGAATGTAGTCCAATGGTTGGTTTCTCGCCAGGTATAATATATTTTCGTCTCAAACGAAAATAAGTAACCTCTAAAATCCACACACCTTTATTTAGTTTACCACACAATTACTACTCCTTCCGCAACTTTCCACTCTGAATAATCACCGTTTCATCTCAATTGACTCTAAATAACATTTTAAAATGATACAGCGTCATTTACTAGCTTTCAGAACAACTATTTACATGCGTCGTTAGTCAATCCGTTTAGCCGAGTCTGTAACGTGACTTTACTACAACGTAAAGGACCATGGTTAGATTCCCGGCAAGTGCAAGAGATGTTTATTTAGGTATCGCTGCTAGTATGACACTGGGACTCGATCTCCTATCCAGTTGGTACAGGAGGCTGTTTTCTCGGGGTTAAAATGGCTGGGGCGTGAAGATAACCACAAACCGTCATCTGTTGTGGTTAAGAATGAAGGCAGTGTACTCCCGCTGTCGGGTGGAGTGTTATTTATTAAACACGCGATTATGCAGTGTCATGTACTATTAACCTTGAGACTTTAACATGTATATTACGTCTATTATTCTACTCCTTGTCAGCATTCTGATGCCTCGCGGGTGATATTTCTAATGAACCAAGCCCATTTATTGTCAGAAGAGAAAGAGACGATAGTTTGGACGAGACAATGTAACTCATCTCGTATTTGTTCTGTAATTAAAGCCAATTGAGATCGTCTCCTACTGTCACTGATCTCCCTTTACCCCTCTCCCTTTTCCGAGATAAGAATTAATGGAAATCCTCGTAAGACAGTGTTACTCTCGTCTTGTGTGAAGTTACATATCTCTGCCTACAGACTTCAGACTGGATATTAGTTTATAGCATCGATCATTTTCGATAGTTCGATTAAATATGGCCCCTATATACATTTGTGACGTCGTAAGGTAGATATAGATTTACGTGTGGTCTTTCTTTATAGAAATAATAATATAAACATTATTTCTAGTAGGAAAATTTACCAATTATCGGTATTAAATTAATAAATATTGTACTTCATTGTAGACAAAAGTGTTGATAAATTCTGTTGTGGCAACTGTAATATGTCCTGCGAGTATTGGTGAGTACATTTAATGTGATATCATCAATATGTGTGTGTGTATGGAATTCCTTTCTTTTGTATGATAAGTAAAATTATTAAATTGGTTTCATCACAAGATACTCGATTTAACGTAGTAACTAATTTCACCGACCGTAGTGTTTCTTCAGAATCTGGTCAAGAATTTTGTCGCCTTATAAGTAACTCAAAGGTCCATTACCATGTTCACATGAAACCGCCACTTGTAACTAACGTGACCCAGATAAATGTAGTCCATCCTTCCACACCCTATAATTTAGAAATCAATTTTAATATCATTCTATCTATTTCAAGTTTTGCCAAGTGATCTCTTCCCTTCTTCTTTTATAACCAGAATTTTGTATTTATTTTTCATGTCCCATGCCATCAATATTCCGTTACAATCTCATTTTTTTATTTCGTGAAGCGTGAAAATTATTAAGTTCTTTGTTATGAAATTTTCTCATACTTTCTATAACTTCATCTCCGTCTTGCATACTTATTCCGATCAACACCCTGATACAAATCACCCCTAATTTACATCCTTTGTTTAGGACAACTCAGAATTGTTTTAAAGTCAGTTACAATGATGAATAAAATGGAATACAGTTTTCAGAGAGCTATTAGATCCAGTAGTTCATATTTGATTGCATAAAAGAAGTTACAGGTACAAAAATTTAAAAGATTATAACAATATTTTAAAGCATCACTTAGAAAAATATCGAGTTCGTATTCTATAATTTTTATATTTGTCAACATAATCGTAAACATTATTTATTAATACTTTTATTTTATTAAACAAACAAATCGGTCGTTATATATAGCTTACTTTGTTTACATATTTAATTGAGATGAATTAAAAGTCAGATTTTGTAAGACGCTTGATAAACTATTTTCAATTATTAAAATAATAAAATATGTCATTATAAATCATTCATATCTTGCTTGCTTTAAAATTTAACTCCGATGAATAAAAACAAGCTTTTATTGCTTGTTTTAGCACTAGCGGCAGATTTTAGCACTATATAATTTAACTGGCTACATAGTCGAGTAGATAGTGTAATTTCCTTGGCACATTGCTTGCCAAAAAAGCCGATAAGATAAATGGCCTCGTTTTTATTAGCGTTGAAAATTAAACAGCCTGAGACAGGCTCTGTAATTAACTGTTTGGCTCCTTGCGCTCTACTGCCATATTTCCTTCATCGTAATATCAAACTCACGCTCTTATATTTGTGTGAAGTTTCGAATTACCGACATTTTCGAACTGTGGATTATAATCTAATTTGTTTTTAAAGCACAGTAGTGTCAGCGTTGTGGCACAAAAATTGTTACAAAACACTTTTGAATAAAGGCAAATGGTCTTTCTTAAGTTTACAGAATGGCAAAGAAAATAATTATTTTTATATCTTTAAAGCTTTCCTATTTGTTATTAAAGGAAACTGAGTTGTAACTTAATATCCAATGTGAAAATTTATCGTAGACTTCAAGTTACTTAATTTCCCAAGACGCCAATGATTTATAAAATTGTTATCCCCTGTGCGTTACCCCGAGGGGACTGGATTCGATTAGAATATTCAAATCAGTAACTTTTTGCGGGAAGGCTAAACATTTTGAAATGGTTTAGATCGTCTATTTTTAACAAATCCACGGTATTTAAATGACTGTCTTAGCAACGTTTAGTAGATCTTTATCAGTTGAAACATGATTATTTTTTAAAGATACGTGTACTTGTGTGAAATTGGGCTTGGGTTTTCACAAGTTTTAACGTCATTAGAAATTAATGTCATGGAATCTGTAAAAACAGAATTATCAAAACCACTTTCTCGAGATAACACAAACATAAAATCTTTTGCAGAAGAATTACGATAATCCAGCAAAAATCCACCAAAACAAAAATAAATCCTCTCTCACAGAAATCTAAATCCTTAAAACATTTTCCATTTAGGCCTGTATCTTTTGGGTCTTTCTCTGAGTTCTTTAACTTATTGCTTCTATCATATTTACATATACTCTGAGAAGAAGAAAATAGGATAGAAGCCCCATAATTCCTTCATGTTTACATACCTTTGATCTTTACACAAACACACACCGCGTCCTATAAGAAAATAGTTCTGCACGTTTCAAAAGCTTCAAGGCACACGATTATGGAAACGATATATAACAACTCTCGAATGATTTTATTTCTCTGAAAATAATAACCTTCTACTATGTTCTTTGTTAATGATTTTAAAAGGACATAAATATTAGTTCCCATGTCCTTTGGTATAAGATTTCAGATCACAGGTGGGTGTTTGTGAATTTCTGTTGAAAGAAACATAAATTATAAATATACATAATACGTCCTATTATCTCTTCTGTGTATATATTCCCAATACTTAAAAGTAAATTTACCCCCATGTCGAAGTCATAAATCGAGAATTTTGGTGTAGCGATAACGTAACAAACTTGTATCTCTGAGGCACTCAGTTTGAATATCAGCATATTTACCGGTTGTCTTCATAAATATTCTTGCTGTTACCAGACGAGTGTCAGTAATCAGCTGCATCTTCAGACAATGATATTTCCTTACTTCTTCAAGAAATGTCCTGTAAATTATGGAACAAATTTTATCAGTGGCCAACGCTAAATTCCGTCCTGAAGCATTTGAATCTAGGTCAAATCCTTAGACTCTGTTTCCTTGAGATCCATCTTAATATTATCCTCCAATTCACGTTTAGATATCACATGTGGCCCTGTTATTATTATGTGTTTGAAGTGACTGAGAAAAACTATGTGCTCTCACTTGGGAAAACTCAGTTTCCAACTTAATAGCGGTGCCGGAGGAATGTGATTCAGTCTTTTTATCACTGAATTGGCTAGCCTGGTAACCACTGAATCTGAGAAACTCATTTAAAAGAAACGTGTTCTCCTTTATCGAGACAAATTTATCTTCCTACAAATGGCTGACTGGATACCATCCACTGAGGAAAATTGGATTTATCCATCATTCTCTTTATAAAGATGGTCTGCCTAACCCAGAAATGAGGAAGTTTCAGTCTATAGCTTGATGTTTAGATTAAATAAAATAACTGAAATTCCGAGTAAACTTAAAATTATAATTCCTCATAGATTTAACGCACTGTTTATCAGCTCTTATTGCAGTCAATGAAGAAATACGTTAAAACTATACAGATTTGTAACAAGATGTATAGAACCCAGTACATACCTAACGTTCAGGAAACCAAACAAAAGTTTCTATTCGGTTTACTAAACTTAACTTCATCTGTTTTGATATTTTCCGATTCCAAATAATGTTACTAGTAGAATCCTTTTTTTCTGAATCTTTATATAATAAATGTTCTCTTAGATTTTTACCTTTTGTTAACTTTCACCGCCCAAATAAAATGTATTATTTTTCTTTACAGTGCAATTAAATTATTTTTATTCCATGTATTTTGTGCTTCATTTTCATGATGGCGTTTTTATTCGTATTTCTTTCTGAATTTTTCTCTTGATATAAACAAAACGAAATTGATGTCAAATGTGTATTTGAAAGTAAAAGGTCGAATACGTTATTTATATTACATTAATCCAGTTAAGGTCAAGTTAATATGGAGGACAGCAAAGTGTTTTATTTTCTGGGATACAGGTCCAATATTTATGACACAACAGTTTAACTAAATATTTTAATGTGGAAATTATAATCATAAATTTATATTGAAATTATAAAGTCGTGAATGTGGGAAGGTGGGCGTGTGTTATTAACTCATTCTCTCAAACATAATCGCTGTTAAATTTAATAGGATTCAGTTGAAGCATGGAGAGAACTACGTTTTTTGTTTTGGAATTAAAACATAAAGTCCAATACAGTTTGTATTTTCCTGTACGTTTATGCTACAAGAGTTGTTCCATTTACTGTAAAATTTGTTTCAAAAATATATACGAAGTACGCTTCTTTTAAACTTCGTATTTTCAACTTTCAATGCAAATTGGATGAAGACAGCCCTTTAGAAGTAAAGGTTGTCTTGGATGTTTGCCTAATATAAGGAAAGGAAGTTTTAAATATAAAAGAAAGCAAACTCGAAACCCATTAACATTCGTTCAACTCAAACGTGGCTGTTATCGGCTGAAAATTTTTTGGCATTGTACGAAAGAAAAGAAGTTTTTCTATGGTATATAGGTCACATTTACCAGCTGATAGTTACTCAGCTGGTAAATAAATTCAATGAATATTTGGTTTTCTTTACTCTTTAGAGTAAGCAAGAAAAATTTATAGACCCATTCATGTCTAATATTCATCGCATTTATATGACAATTACATTAGAGCACATTGTTGCAACAATTATAAGAAATATTATTGTTGCATTTGTTATTCCCTTGGTTGCCTGTGATGTGGCATAACGAACACCTTTGGAGTGTTTCTGTCTACTATAAAAATTTGTGATTCCCCGTTGTCGTCAACCAATTTGTCGTCAAAGAATGACGTCATCAACAATGTCAACTATAAACTAACTCGGCATTGTTGTGTTCCACAACAATGCCGAGTTTAGTGTCTTACTTAGGATTTTAAAACGTCAAGTGTTTTAACCCTCCATTCGGGGGGTTTAGTTTAGTTTCTTACACAAGATTTTAAAAAGCAACCAACCCCCCCCCCCCCCCCCCCCCATTGTTATGCAATCCAAATTTTCATCATCAAGATTATCAAATTTTGTAACCCTCATGTTTCTCCTTATATATAAGTAGTCTTTGTCTCACATATTATATTATTCTATCAATATTAAAGATTAAAAATAATATTTAACCACGAATTATCATAAAAGAAACTTCTGATTCAAGTGTAAAACTCGTGAACGTTTATTACATACTTATGTTTCAAGAAGTGTGTATATAAAGGCAATATTCCACAAGGCCTAGTTCCTGTCTGTTTTCTTAGCTAAATTGCTCCTTATCGACATTCCGAATCTGAAGTTCTCAGAGATGGAATTAAAGCAGAAGAGTGCACCTAACAGCCTGTGTCTCCATTA